TGCAAAATATGCAGTAAAAATTATAAATGCATATTTAATATGCATTATCAAATAATTTTAATTTGATCCATTTGGACTTGAATTTAAATTAAATCAAGTTTATGTCGAGGTTTTAACATCATAGATTTAAGAAAAAAACATGCATGTGCATACAAATCTAGCTCTTAGATATGTGTATAGATAATGAATGATTGATAAATTGATAATGTGTGAAATTGATGCTATATTTATAAATAAATATTCTCTTTTGATTCACTGATAACATAAAGTCAACTCTGTAAAAGTGCACTCTAACTGAAAATAATCTGCCATTTAGAGATTAAAATAAACTTTGGGTTTGGTTATTTGTAAATATCACAAAATAATTTTTAAAAATTTTGTGGTTGAAATATTCTTATACTGTTTTATAATAAAGCTTAAATTATTTCTCATTTTCACAATACAGGTATTTACAATGAGTATTATTTTATGCTTTTAGAAAAACTGCATTATACAAAAGCTGTGAACTATGAACACATACAGAAGGAACATTTTCTGGAAAACAGCAATGCTATCTAGTAACAAAAATGTGAATGACAGGAAATGAACATTAAGCAACAATTAACATGCTAAATATTAGCAACAATTAACATGCTACAAAACAGTGAATTTATCTTATCTTCAATTAAACAAAATTAAACACTGTTCAGTTGTAAAGATTAATGAATAATTAGCATTCAGATAATCATCAGAAAATTATTAACAAATATCTAATTTTAGATATTGTTGTAAGATATGAGATATTTAGATGCAAGATATGAAGTATGTTAATTTGATGTTTGATGCTTAGAAGTAAGACAAAACAAATCTTAAACTTTTCAAAACTATCAATGAAAAATGTTGCAATACTTATTTCATTTTTATTGGATTGCTTTTTCAGTTGACATTTTAGAATTATTTTGCATCATTTTTATTTCAGCCGCTCACTTGCCGAATCAGTTAACTCCATAAAACAAAAAGTGGAGAAAAGTCACAAAGTAATATACATTCATTTTTAAAATTCCTTGTAAAATATAAATTCAAATAAACATTGTAGAATGTATTATTGTAGATGTGTCTTTTATTTAACAACATATAAAATGCATAAGATAGCATAGATATGTTATAATCATTATTATTATTACAATTTTGGTGTGATTGACAGAGTTAATTGATTTGGCAAGTGAAAAACATAGTAACATCAAATTCAGTCTTCACATTAGCATATGTCTTTTATTAAAAAATTTTCGCAAAATTGAATAATAACTGTTCTGTTACTTTGCATAACTTTGATCATTTTTTAACTTTGTGGTAATTTTTAAATAATCTATTTATGATGTCTTAAGAAGATTTTTTATTTCTTCAATCTAATTGACAATTACTTCTGAATTGGTCTGTGTAAAGGAAATTAAATAGCCTCAAAAAATTATATATTTTTATGTAAGTTTCTATAGCTTGTTCTGTTACAGTTACAATGGTTGTTATTTATTATTTTGCTTGAATTGATTATTCAGCAGCATAACTGATGTCTTCTTCATCAGCTGTATTTGAGCGTCAGCTCATCTGTTGATTTGTTCTTAAATTTTATAAGAATCATGTTTAATAGGAGGAATGAAAAAAATTGTTTTCAGTTTTATCTATCTCGATATGACGGGTATAACTTTTCTTTTTTTCTAAAAACAGTTGTCACCAAAATTAAAACAATTGTTCAATATTCCACAAGTATACTTACTTCTGTGGCAGTTGGACTGTAACTAACTAATTTCTTTTACTTACTTCTTGTGATGAAATAACATTAAATAATTTATTGTTATCTATAAAGCACTGGTCAGTGCACAATGCAATTGCAATGCTGCAGTGTGCACTGGCAGATTAACATTACAGTATGGAGTTAATTAGATTGGCTTCTGAAATAAATAAAAATTTTTTGATGGCCAATAAAATTTTGTCATTAAATAGTATTGATCCTTATTATTAGGGAAACATATTATGAATATAAAAAGTTACAAGTATATCAAGTGCTTTGACACTAAAATTAAAACAAATTCGAAATGTGACATTAATTGATTTGGCTTGTGAATGACTCATTTAATGATAACAGTCATTTCATGTTTGATTTTAGATTTTAATAAAAAACCCCAATGAGTGAGAAAAACCAACCAAGCATTTTGCATTTCTTTTGTAATACTTAGGGTAATACGTTTAATTATAACAGTTGTGAAATTTAACACATTATTGCTAATTTGAGATTATATTCTTTCTTCAGAAGCTTATTTTATGTTTCAAGTGCATTTTTCACTGCATGTGCAGTTTGAACTTTGAAGCATCGTTCAAACTCCAAAGTAAAGTTTTGTCAAATTTGGAGTCTGAACTCTGAAGCATTCAAAGCATTGTTCAAAGTATAAAGTATATTATATATTAGAATTTATAGTTTTTGAATATATGAAATTTGCAGTTATGAAATGATAAATTTATGATACAATTTTAAATATAGAATCTATTTTAATTTAATTAAAATAGATTCTATTTTCTTTTCTTAAATATATATTCTGTTTTAATTTAATTAAAATAGATTCTATATTTAAATTTGGGAAACACTATAAAACAAAATGAAAAATACTTCAGATAAACAGTTTCCAATTAAACCTAGAAAATACACTGTTTTAAACAATGAGTGAGGATCATGCATTCAGTAATTACAATTTGGTGAATCTCAAAATAAGTGTGACAATAAGTGTGAACTACATTGCTGAATTTCTCTTAAAACATTCATCATGATTTGTATTTTTAACAGTCATTTTTGTTATTATTTAATTTATTTTTAATCAGTTCAGGTTATATAAATACATGTAACTTTTGATGTATGCAGTCAATTGGTTCCACAAGTATACTGCATATATCAAAACTACACATATTGAAGTTACCAATCAATGGGATAAATTATGAATTAGGTCATTAAGAAGTCGTCTGAATTCATAACCTTATATTTGTTTGGACAGATTAAAAACATGGAAAAAATGAAGAAATTAAATCTGAAAAAATTTATTGATGAATTATTAATTAATTAAAGGTTTTTGACAAAGTTCATTGTAGTTATATACAAAATTGAAAACAAATCAAAAAATAACATTAAAGATCAATTATAGAGTTCAGACTAACCACTAAAACAGCTCAAAAAAAGAAAAACGTAAGTAAAAACTTTATAAATCAAACAAAATATTTATCTTGCATTCCCTGGACAAGTGCTGTTTTTTTTTTTCTTTGTAAAGTTTTTTGTAAAAATTAAAGAATTAAAACAGAAGTTTGCAAAAATTACACTAAATATTAAAATAGAAATTATCTATCTGAATAAGGACACTTCACTAGAAAAACTGTGATAAGTGCAAATAGAATAATTTTTGATGATAAAATATATTTTCAGAAGCTTTTTACAGTTAATAGATGTTAGGTTGATTGTCTATGTCAAAATTGTATANGTCAAATTATAAAAATATTATAAAGTCTCTGTAAATCCGCACGAAAAATATATAAATTTTAGGTTTAGCAGTAGACTAACACACAGCAGATAGCTAATTACTTCTTTATTTAATCACTGTATATGCATTTTGGTCCTATTAAAGAATTATACAGTACTACAAACTATAAATATTATATAGACTTCAGTACTACAAAATATAAATATTATAATAAACCTTATGCGAGTAAAACTACCAATGTAACAATTAATAGGACCGAAATGCATATACAGTGATTAAATAAAGAGAAGTAATTAGCTATCTGCTGTGTGTTAGTCTACTGCTAAACCTAAAATTTATATATTTTTCATGCGGATTTACAGAGACTTTATAATATTTATATATAAACAGCAGTAAAAAAAAATTTAATTAAAAGTCAAATGCTATTTTATTTTGTCAATACACCATACTGTAATGGATGAGGGTCAGGGAATTTGTACAAAGGTGGTCAGGGAAAGTCATGGAAATTAAAACAAAAATTTGAGTAGGAAATCATGTTATCTTTTTAAAATGTTCATACTGGATATTACAGTACATTGCTAATTGATAATATCTCAAATCAAATCTTCCTATAATGAATCTAAATTGTGATTACAATGTAAAAACTTTAGTAAAATGTATGCAATTTAATTCTGCACAATTATTAAACTAAATTTGGAATTTATTACATTAAATATAAAAAAATACACATTTTGAGTTGTTCAGACTGAAATTTACCATTTTTTTCTTTCATCCAGTTTTGATTTAAATACAGGGTGATTCAAAAGTCACAGAAATTTTAAAAAATTAATAATTTACAAACTATTTACAGTAAGATGATGTGGTTTTCACAGAAATGCTTAGAAAGAAATGGGATTTTTTTGTGCAATAAAAATTTTATTACCAAAAATAGTTACATTTTGCCTAAAAAATCCCACTTCTTTCTAAGCGTTTCTATGAAAACCATATCATCTTACTGTAAACAGTTTGTGATTTATTAATTTTTAAAAATTTTTGTGACTTTTGAATTACCTTGTATAATCTATTATTAAGTTTATGCTATAAATAATTCTGATAATAATCAACAGTATGTAGTTACTTTGCAGAAGTATGGTGACATAAAAAAATGAGCAAAACTGATCAAATGTATTTTTTATTTTTATAATTAATACAGATAATGCCCTAGAGAGCTTTGAAAAAATGTCTTTAACATTATAATATAAAGTAGAATAACAGAAATAGAACATAATTTCTAGGATCTACACAGTAAGCAGTAGTTGTGGATTATATATTTTTAATTTTCATTTCATGTTCATTTTGTTTTTCTAAAAATCTGTTTATTAGTTTAATAAGGAAAAAGAGTTTTAAACCATCAATTATCTTTTTTATCTTTTCAATATGTTGATTTGATTAATAACTTAAGTTTTAATCAACAATAGATTTTTTATGATGTGACAAAAAATTGCTAATTTATTAAAGTAATTACAGGCTGAAGATCGTGTGAACAAAGAATTAGAGAAAGCAGCTCAGTATCAAGCAAGAATAGCCAAAAGAATGCGTAAAGCAAAACGAATAAGAGCAATTCCAGAAGAAAAGCCATTACATACTAAAAGTAAGATATAAGATATAATTTTCTAAGTTTAGATTAAATGATTGGTTATTTGTCCAATTTCAAATTTGGCAGATGATTTAAATTTCAGCCAATCTGACTTTCTTAAGTTAGCACATACTTTATGGCAACTCCCTATTCTGGGGATTGTGCAACTCCACAGTTACAAATCAAAAACATGCACAAAGCATGAATTCATCATTATTCCTAAAACAGCTTAGGACTTCTTCACAACTTTCAGGCTTATTAAGGCTATCAGCAAGAATACAAACTACAATAACAACTTCTTTATTATGTTTCAAAAATAATGCTCTATTTGAATTATTCTTCAGTCATTCTACTGTTTTGGATTTGTTGTGTAAAGCAAATCCATGGATCATAAAAGAAAACAAAAGCTTAAGATTTATTGATAGATAGTATACTGTTTCTATAAGCCAAACTCAATATAACAGAGTATTTTCTATGTTTTGTTCATATGCAAAAGTTTGACTAATTTACTAATCTGAAATGATCTCCCTTATATTTAATTAAACATTATATTTGCACAATTTTTTGAAAGATTTAAATTTAACATTATTAAATAATTAATATAACATTTACGATAATTTTAATCCTATTAAGTCAACAGATTTTGAGAATTTGAAAAATAAGAGATTTCCACAGCAATGTAAAACATGTTCATTTGTGGGACTTTAAAAGAATTAGAATTAGACAGTTCAAATTTAAAAAATTTGAATTTGCATTCTTATCTGTAATTGGATAGCTGAGTGATATTTTTCAGTGCAATGAATCTGTTTTTTTGCATGTATAGTTTATATATGCAAAAAAACAGATTCATTGCACTGATAGCAGAAATGGACTATACATCATTTCAGAAAAATAACACCTGCAATCATGCAAACAACCTATAAAGTTTATAAAACACTTATTTAGTCCCAAAAATGGTCAAATCTGCAAAATATGCAGTAAAAATTATAAATGCATATTTAATATGCATTATCAAATAATTTTAATTTGATCCATTTGGACTTGAATTTAAATTAAATCAAGTTTATGTCGAGGTTTTAACATCATAGATTTAAGAAAAAAACATGCATGTGCATACAAATCTAGCTCTTAGATATGTGTATAGATAATGAATGATTGATAAATTGATAATGTGTGAAATTGATGCTATATTTATAAATAAATATTCTCTTTTGATTCACTGATAACATAAAGTCAACTCTGTAAAAGTGCACTCTAACTGAAAATAATCTGCCATTTAGAGATTAAAATAAACTTTGGGTTTGGTTATTTGTAAATATCACAAAATAATTTTTAAAAATTTTGTGGTTGAAATATTCTTATACTGTTTTATAATAAAGCTTAAATTATTTCTCATTTTCACAATACAGGTATTTACAATGAGTATTATTTTATGCTTTTAGAAAAACTGCATTATACAAAAGCTGTGAACTATGAACACATACAGAAGGAACATTTTCTGGAAAACAGCAATGCTATCTAGTAACAAAAATGTGAATGACAGGAAATGAACATTAAGCAACAATTAACATGCTAAATATTAGCAACAATTAACATGCTACAAAACAGTGAATTTATCTTATCTTCAATTAAACAAAATTAAACACTGTTCAGTTGTAAAGATTAATGAATAATTAGCATTCAGATAATCATCAGAAAATTATTAACAAATATCTAATTTTAGATATTGTTGTAAGATATGAGATATTTAGATGCAAGATATGAAGTATGTTAATTTGATGTTTGATGCTTAGAAGTAAGACAAAACAAATCTTAAACTTTTCAAAACTATCAATGAAAAATGTTGCAATACTTATTTCATTTTTATTGGATTGCTTTTTCAGTTGACATTTTAGAATTATTTTGCATCATTTTTATTTCAGCCGCTCACTTGCCGAATCAGTTAACTCCATAAAACAAAAAGTGGAGAAAAGTCACAAAGTAATATACATTCATTTTTAAAATTCCTTGTAAAATATAAATTCAAATAAACATTGTAGAATGTATTATTGTAGATGTGTCTTTTATTTAACAACATATAAAATGCATAAGATAGCATAGATATGTTATAATCATTATTATTATTACAATTTTGGTGTGATTGACAGAGTTAATTGATTTGGCAAGTGAAAAACATAGTAACATCAAATTCAGTCTTCACATTAGCATATGTCTTTTATTAAAAAATTTTCGCAAAATTGAATAATAACTGTTCTGTTACTTTGCATAACTTTGATCATTTTTTAACTTTGTGGTAATTTTTAAATAATCTATTTATGATGTCTTAAGAAGATTTTTTATTTCTTCAATCTAATTGACAATTACTTCTGAATTGGTCTGTGTAAAGGAAATTAAATAGCCTCAAAAAATTATATATTTTTATGTAAGTTTCTATAGCTTGTTCTGTTACAGTTACAATGGTTGTTATTTATTATTTTGCTTGAATTGATTATTCAGCAGCATAACTGATGTCTTCTTCATCAGCTGTATTTGAGCGTCAGCTCATCTGTTGATTTGTTCTTAAATTTTATAAGAATCATGTTTAATAGGAGGAATGAAAAAAATTGTTTTCAGTTTTATCTATCTCGATATGACGGGTATAACTTTTCTTTTTTTCTAAAAACAGTTGTCACCAAAATTAAAACAATTGTTCAATATTCCACAAGTATACTTACTTCTGTGGCAGTTGGACTGTAACTAACTAATTTCTTTTACTTACTTCTTGTGATGAAATAACATTAAATAATTTATTGTTATCTATAAAGCACTGGTCAGTGCACAATGCAATTGCAATGCTGCAGTGTGCACTGGCAGATTAACATTACAGTATGGAGTTAATTAGATTGGCTTCTGAAATAAATAAAAATTTTTTGATGGCCAATAAAATTTTGTCATTAAATAGTATTGATCCTTATTATTAGGGAAACATATTATGAATATAAAAAGTTACAAGTATATCAAGTGCTTTGACACTAAAATTAAAACAAATTCGAAATGTGACATTAATTGATTTGGCTTGTGAATGACTCATTTAATGATAACAGTCATTTCATGTTTGATTTTAGATTTTAATAAAAAACCCCAATGAGTGAGAAAAACCAACCAAGCATTTTGCATTTCTTTTGTAATACTTAGGGTAATACGTTTAATTATAACAGTTGTGAAATTTAACACATTATTGCTAATTTGAGATTATATTCTTTCTTCAGAAGCTTATTTTATGTTTCAAGTGCATTTTTCACTGCATGTGCAGTTTGAACTTTGAAGCATCGTTCAAACTCCAAAGTAAAGTTTTGTCAAATTTGGAGTCTGAACTCTGAAGCATTCAAAGCATTGTTCAAAGTATAAAGTATATTATATATTAGAATTTATAGTTTTTGAATATATGAAATTTGCAGTTATGAAATGATAAATTTATGATACAATTTTAAATATAGAATCTATTTTAATTTAATTAAAATAGATTCTATTTTCTTTTCTTAAATATATATTCTGTTTTAATTTAATTAAAATAGATTCTATATTTAAATTTGGGAAACACTATAAAACAAAATGAAAAATACTTCAGATAAACAGTTTCCAATTAAACCTAGAAAATACACTGTTTTAAACAATGAGTGAGGATCATGCATTCAGTAATTACAATTTGGTGAATCTCAAAATAAGTGTGACAATAAGTGTGAACTACATTGCTGAATTTCTCTTAAAACATTCATCATGATTTGTATTTTTAACAGTCATTTTTGTTATTATTTAATTTATTTTTAATCAGTTCAGGTTATATAAATACATGTAACTTTTGATGTATGCAGTCAATTGGTTCCACAAGTATACTGCATATATCAAAACTACACATATTGAAGTTACCAATCAATGGGATAAATTATGAATTAGGTCATTAAGAAGTCGTCTGAATTCATAACCTTATATTTGTTTGGACAGATTAAAAACATGGAAAAAATGAAGAAATTAAATCTGAAAAAATTTATTGATGAATTATTAATTAATTAAAGGTTTTTGACAAAGTTCATTGTAGTTATATACAAAATTGAAAACAAATCAAAAAATAACATTAAAGATCAATTATAGAGTTCAGACTAACCACTAAAACAGCTCAAAAAAAGAAAAACGTAAGTAAAAACTTTATAAATCAAACAAAATATTTATCTTGCATTCCCTGGACAAGTGCTGTTTTTTTTTTTCTTTGTAAAGTTTTTTGTAAAAATTAAAGAATTAAAACAGAAGTTTGCAAAAATTACACTAAATATTAAAATAGAAATTATCTATCTGAATAAGGACACTTCACTAGAAAAACTGTGATAAGTGCAAATAGAATAATTTTTGATGATAAAATATATTTTCAGAAGCTTTTTACAGTTAATAGATGTTAGGTTGATTGTCTATGTCAAAATTGTATACTAAACACAATATATGTTACCAAAATATCAAAGAATCATATGTTTTAAATATCCATTAATCTGATACATCTGTTCACATTCAGTAACATGCTTATCATATTTCATTAACATGTTCCTTTCTCTTATGAATAATATATCTTCATACATTGTTGATAAGAGATTTGTTTAGAATTTTCCTTGATATACAGTAGACCCCTCTATAACACAGTGGATATGTTCCGTGTTTTATGAAATTCATGTTGTGTGAGTCCTTAAATACATGAGCCAATCACAGCCAGGCACGTGTGTAGTTTACAGACTATGGCTGTTTGAAAGGTTTTCTTCCATAAAATTAATCAATTCTAGACTAATTTGACTCAAAATTTCCAAAACACGTATAATTTTTTGGGAATAATTCATATAAACTATGCTATAAACAAAAAATTGTAGGATTACTTACTGAGTGTGCACCTTTCGACGATGCCATTGCTTAAGTTTGTTTTCATCGTGGAACGGCGCATCAAACAGTGGTGCATATTTCCTGATAAATTATTTTTCTGTGAAAAATTTGCTGAACTTCGGAGACATCATTAATATAAATATAATTTTTATGGCTGTTAAATAATAAATGATTTTTAGTAGGTCCGCTGCTCGTTTAAACTCAACAGTTTGTGCAATATTCGCTATTGGTCTAGATTCGACCAATCCTGTCACGACACAAGTCGGTGATGACATTTTACCATATCATATGAGTCTCATTTAGTGTGTTTATACGAATACGATTGCAATTTTTTCGCCGTTATATACGAATCTGTATTATATACGAACCCGTGTTATAGGAGGTCTACTGTATATGTATCCTTCATATATCAAAGTGGTTATGCTTAATTGTGAATAATAATTTTGTTGATAATGAATGTTGTTTATTATTTTCATTATTTTTTATATTTTTATTTTTATAATTTCAGAAATAAAGAAAGTTAAATCTATAAAAAAGAAATCTTCATTTGAAGATGAATTAGCAAATACAAGTAGAAAATCTGTAAAGAAATTTAGATATGAGTAAGAAAATAATTTGACTACTAAAATTAGTTTGATAATATTTATTTATATTATTTGAAATTCTAAAAAAATATTAATTATTAATTAATTAATAATAAAACTTGTAAAGTTTTGAATGGTTTAGAAAGAATTAACATACACCTACCTTCAACTTACACAGCAAATTGGTTCCATGTAAATTGAAGGTTTAATTAATGTTTATGTGAGAAATGGAGGGTTAGGTTCCAAGATTTCAGTTTTTATTAATCAATATAAAATGAATTGTTTAATATAGTATATTTATTATATATCATTTTTATACACAAAACAGTCTTTATTAATATATAAACATATAATACAAAATTATTTAACATAAAATTTTATTCTGTATTTTTACTTATTGATAAAGAAACAATTTTCATCTAAAGCATTGAAAGTCTTATATTAATATTGTTGCTAACTTTTTCAATTCCAGTTTTTTTTTTTCTAATTTGTTTACTGATTACATTGATGATGTCATTTCAATAAAATTCATTATCAATGCTTGTTTTTTATTTCTATTTAAATTTTTTATAAATTTACTGATACAGTGCTTTTGAGTTATGTTTAATGCATATGGTATGAAGTTGAAATGTGGTGCAAAATGGGGACTGGCTCCTTGAATGTGTAGAGGTCAGTTCATAGTCCATTCATATCCATTGAAGATGAATTATTTTATTATAGTGTTCAAAGTATTGATAGTCTTGTTCTGTTAAATATACTGGCTTGCCACCAGATTTCACAATGGTCTAATGGTAAGTTCTTCATAATCAAACTCAATGTTCTGCCATTGGTCAAGAACCAATAGAATTTTGTGATGGTATCACATGTTTTATATTCAGTGTAGTGTTTGAACATTGTCATCTTGTACAAATATAAAATGGAGAATTTTAGAGCCATGAGTGGTGAACTGTTAGTAAATGTAAAAATCTAATTTCGTGACTTTGGATAAAAGAGTTAAAAAATTAAAAAGTTTTACTTAATTAAAGAAAAATTACAAATGATTTGTTCCCTGGAGTACTAGATAAGAACTAAATATTTAAAATAGGTGACTGAAATAATTTTATTATATTGAGCTTGATTTAACAAAGGATAAATAGCAACTAATTTTTAATAGATATGCATTGTGGAATAAGGAGTATGTTTGTTTGTTTTTGTCACATGTAAGCAAGTATCCAATCAGATGCCAATGGTTCATAACCATCAAGTACACTATGAACTGTTGAATTGTAACAGAATGTTTTTATTATATTATTGTCTACTTAGGACTTATTATATTGGTGTTCTGTTTCTGCAGAAACGGAACACCAGTATAATAAGTCCTAAGTAATATGTATAAATTATGTAAAATACACCCAAAATGCATTTCAGACTTTAAAATAGTCACTCTTCAGCTGGTATTTCTCTGGAATTTGTAAAAGTGCATTGTTTTTCTTCTTTTTATTTTATGTAATGTTTCAGTTGGTCCTTCAGAGACATCAACTAACTCTTTACAGCTGGATTAGTTGTGAAAACATGAAAAAGATAAAAGTTATTGTACCACACTTGTGAAATAATGCCAGTTTCTTAGTTGTGATATCTTCATCATTCTTTCGGCCTTTTAATATAACTTTTATGTATTTTATTTTGTGAGTTTAATTGAAACACCAACTGAAGAGGGACTATTAAAGTCCGAAATGCATTTTGGGTGTATTTTACATAATTTGTTCATATTTGTTTTTCATTATTGTAAAATCTCTTTTTGTAAACTTAAATATATATTAAATTTAAGAAATTTTGTGTTCATGTTCACTGGTGTGATAAACCCTAACGTAAATAACTGCTTTAAGTTAGTAGAAACATTTTACAATTTATGTATAAAATAAAACTTAAAAATTTTGGATATCTTCAAGAGAAATGCACATATATTTATTCTCATAAACAGCACCCTCTAATAGTAAGTGTTCAGCACGGCTGAAAGATGAAAAATGCTATGAATCCTCTGTAATAGCACCCTTTAATAATATACATGTTGTCTATTGGAGGAAGATGATTCTTATTTTAAACTGAAAAATTTGTATATTCTATTCAGCATTGTCACTCCTACTGCATGTTAAAATAAAATGTGTGTTGAGTATTGTTCAAACAATAAAGTGAAAAAAGTTACTGGATTTATTATATTTAAAATGTCACCAAATTCTCAAGGATTAGGAATAATAATAAGTGCTCTGTAATAAATGTGCAGAAGCAAGAAGAAAGTTATAGACTGTATTCTTTTTATTAGAACAAACATGGTAATTATTGATAAAAAATAAAGTCAATTAAAAACATTTAATATTTCAAATTATATTCTTATAAGGAAAATATTCATTTTATTACAAAACTTGATAAAATGAACATTTTTAACATATGTTTTTGACTTGCAAACATAAATATGAAATTATTTTGTGTCTAAGATCAAGATTGTATAATAATTTATTTTATTTTAAAATTTTTCAGAGCAACATCATTTGAAAAAATGCAAAATAAAACAAGAAAGAAAAAATTACCAAATAAAAAATTTAAGTCGAAAAGCAGGTATGTAAGCTTGAAATTATTGAACAGTAGTAAAATATACAAATTTGTTTATAATGCATCTTTTACATAGGTATCATAGAAAGAGATGAAGTAATTACAGATCATGAAGAATTCATTATTTCAATAGTTTTGTAATTAAATTGGTAATTATGAAATATATTTAAATTAATGAATTTCATAAATTAAAAGATACACATTTGAAGAAAGTGTTAAATTAATGAGATTGAAAAAATGGATATAAGTAAACTATTTTTATAAAATTGAAATAAACTTAATTTTAAATAATTCAAAAAGATATGAATAAATTTTGTTATTTTATATGTGTTGTAATATTTTTAACTTATAAATACTGCAATGTATTGGAAACAATATTAAAAATAAGACATTTTTGTCAGCATATTGTAAAATAAGCATTTATAACAAAATTCCATGTTTTCCTGATTGTTTTTGTAAAACTTTAATAAATACAAAACAAATTACAATACTTACGACTTGGTTCAATTGACATAAAATTATTAATTAATTAATTATTTAATTTCACAATAAACATTCATAAAATCACAAAATTGTATAGTTACTAAAGAAATACCTGAAAGAATCAATCAAGACTTATAGCCAGATGAGCACAGAATAAAGATTGGTTTACAGCTCTACAGCAGTATAGTGCTGCAACATTTGAGTTCCACTATATTCACTGCTTTCAGCTCTGCTAAAGATGAACACTTGTGATCCAGCAACACAACTCCAAAGTTGAATGATGTTCAACTTTGACATTTGATGTCAACAACATGCTGAGCCAATAGCTAGAAACCTTGAAGCTCCATGCTGCTGTTGGAATATAAAGAATTTGATTCAAACCCAATTCAAAATCTTGATAGTATGGATCAGAGTATTGTTCCCCATATCTCATCCATGCCATTTGGCCATATTGCATTAATTAATGTTATATAAAATAATTTTTAAAAATGTATTTAAATTGAAAAGCAGTAAATTGTAAATTAATGTGGTTATAAAAACAAAATTAATATTGTAAGTACTCTGTAATATTTTTCATAGAATATTGTGTTATTGTTTTTAATTATAGTAGGAGTTTGATGATCCAACATGCTAATACTCTGCAGAGTGGAATTTGGACATAGGTACACTAGAAGCCTCAGACAGAAATACATATCTGGAAAATAAATATTGTATGCACATGAATTATTGTGAAAATTGATTTTGTGCAGTAATGTACTCATGTTTTTGCAGGTTTTTCAATCACAGTATAATCATGAACTGTATCATCTTCAGACTTACAAAAAATTTAAATTGTATGCACTGATACAAAATGTAAAGCAATTTCTGCAGCATCTATATCATATATAACTAAGATTAAAGCTAGAGTCTAGCTTCAAATTCTCAACTTTAATATAAGTTATTTTTGTATAGACTGAGCAATATTGTGTAGAGTTCTTTTCCATGGTTAATATCGATCTGATCACAGTTTTAATTCTGCATTTATATCAATTAACTCTAAATGTTTTTGGTGGTTGCCTGCTGTTCGAAAACCTCCAAATAACAGATACACTGAAAATTCTGAACACAGTGAGTATCTGAGCAGGAGATCACCAGTGGCCAAGTGGATAAAACTACTGAGTGCTCATAATTGATTGAGTTTACACCTGGTTAACTTGGCTGGCAATGTGGAGTTTTCCAGATTTTCTTTGCATATCTTACATCTAAATGGAAGCTAATTTCTTATAAAAAAATCTTCTTGGGAGGCAACTTCCTTTGCAGATTACCCAGTGTTATGTTGCTTTATTCTATCAATCCAGTCTGCAAACTTTGCATTATCTGGTGTGAAATCAGACCATGACTATAATCATTTAAATAACTTTCCGAGACATACAGTAGCTGTATGCAAAACTTTGTAGTTATTGGACGATACTATTTGCTTGCCTAACTTTTTTGTCAATGAGTTTATTTATTCAAAAACTAGTTTTAGGTTTAATAGGATACAGCAAAGCAACACTTGAGTAATCAGCCTAAGAGTGATGCCTCTGAAGAATTTCTACAGAAAATTTACTCTAGGTGTTAGGCAAGTGAAGAAAACTGGAAAACTCCACATCACTTTTGGTCAAGCACAAATCTATGACAACTACCAGTGTTCAGGTATTTTATTCATTCTGCCACTTCGAAAAATAGGACATACAGTTTAAATATCGTTATTTATTCTATTTTATTAAAAAAAAATTATATTCTTAACTAGCTTACCCATCGCGCATTGCTGCGATCTCAGAAGAAGCGAAATTCAAGCAAACTCGTTATGATAAAATTAAATTTACATTTTATCATTTTTATTGAAACATTATTATTATTCATTTTCATCGGAAAAAAACATTCCAAAGTGTCGTTTCAATTCTATTTATTTATTGGAGTGTTTGTGGATACACGATATTTTTTGTTTTTCCGTCTGGTGCGTACACGAATAAATCGGAAGGTTTTTCGACGCGTGAGCCGGCCACATACAGTTGTCCATGCGAGAAGCACGGATTCTCCAAATTTAGCCCACACACTCGCTGCGATTGTCAGAAGTGCGATATTCCCCATTTTTATATATATTTTTAAATCCTTTATAATTTTAATTATTTAATTGCTCCTTCCTCTCTTCCTTGGCATGTTGTGAAATTTCTGATAGTTGGATAATAAACCGTTTTATTGTAATTTGTCTTTTTAAATTATTAGATGATATTAAAATTTGGAAAAGGGGATCCCTAGATCGGTAAAATAGGCGAATTTCCTTCTACAACTTCGGTTGTTGTTCGGTATACAGTTAAAGTTTTAACAAAGTTCGAGCGAATACGTAATTAGCAAAAAAAAGTTGAAATAAAGTGATTAAACAAACATTATTACGAATATCGTAAATAACAGTTCACAAATGCATATATAGAAATATTTTTTGAAGGGGGAAATGGTCTTCACAATTTGAAATCGATCGAACACACTGTGCTCGAATGCTCGTGTAAACGCGCGCCATCTATCGTAGGATAAATGTACTATGCCAAAAACCTTCGCGGGAGTGTATTAAAAAACTTTCCGAAGTTTTATGGCAATCGTACTATGCCACAAACCTTCGCCGGAGTATATTAAACAACTTCCCAAAGTTTCACGGCAATCGGATAAACGGTGTGGTAATGCATGAAGGACAGACAGACACACACACATACATTCATTTTTATATATATAGATTATTAAAAATGGCAAAACACTTAATTTGGAAGGTAGAGATGGGTTTTATAAAAAAAATTGTAAATGCTAATAACGAATAAAATTGTCATTAAGTCTGTCCTACTTGAGATAAGACTCCCCACTCCGTTGACCTTTAACCATCAAGATTTAATAGCATCAATCACCCTAATACATGAACCTCCTGCAAAATTTCAGAAATTTTTGACAAAAGACACTTGAGTTATTAAAAGAGAGAACAAAATCGTGCCTCCCCACATACAATAACATTCATACATACATACAGTACATACATAAAAACAAGAAAGACATACCCGAAGTGTTTGGCCAGCAGAAAAGAGGGTAAAGGGAAGAATGGAGAGGAGATAGACAGTAGGGAAAGGTAGGATCCCTTTGAATGGCGTACATAAGTACAGTACCCTCTATGTTGGCATGCAGTTTTTAGGCTGCAAGGCCGTAGTCCCCCGAAGGGTCTGAAAGAAAACATGAGTGTAGTGAACACTAATAATTGACTGTTGCCATGAATAGCTAAGTGTAGAAGTTAACGCCAAGTGACTATTAGTAGGAAGACTTATCTACACTGCTGGCCAAGTAAAATGCAACACCTGCAATATCTAGAGGTCTACATGGTATTGCATTTTATTTGGCCAGCGATATACTTGATACTAATAAAACTGAACGCAATTGCAAATTTTAATACTACTTAACAGCTAGACAGGCAGTGCAAAAAGCAAACAAACACAATGACAAACTAGATGAGACAAACGAGCAAGAAGACCCCAAAAAAAATTTTTTTAACACTAACTAAACTAACCTACCATAACCTAGGACGAACCTAACCAGAGGACTAAAGCTAATGAACTCTAATCTAATTTAACCTAACCGGAAACCAAGCTAAGAGTCCCTAATCTAACTTACAACTAAGACTAACCAAATTTAGACTGAAAAAGAAGACAGAAAATAAGAATTAAAATACAAAGTTGAAAGGTAGCTATATACTGACAGTTGAAACAAAGCAAGGGAAACCTAATTGCCATCCGTGCGCCCCAGAGTGAGTGGTCTCAAGAGCCTCACTAAGGGATATGAATGCGAGTAGATGATGGAACATTGTATGCATGTGAATGAGATGGTGCGGGTTCCAAGGCCAGTTGTACCTTTCAAGAATAGCAGCCCTCATTAAACTATCCCTACCTATTGCAGTGAAAAACTAAGTGGTGTTTGGTCCTCCTGAATTCCACAATCGCATTGTGGATTGTCCCCAAGGTTAAATCTATGCAAATATTGCTTAAAGTTGCCGTGTCCTGTAAGTAGCTGAGTGAGGGTAAAAGTGGCGAAGAGTCGCAGTAATGTCAACCTTGGGGATGAAAGTGTAGGTGAGTGTACCAGTAGTGTCATGGTCCCAGCTGTCTTGCCAGAAAATGAAGATTAGCTTCTTGACGTGATTGTTGATGTACAAGGTAGGAATGTAACTGAAAGTACTAGTGACTGAAGACTGCAGCTTGTTTGGCAAGATGGTTAGCGGTCACCCCCGCATGACCTGGGACCCATTGGAAATCTATTCTAATGTTGTCTAAGTGTCTAAGAATGTAGTGTATGACATGGACGAGTTTTAAGCGGCTATCAGACTTTGCAATCCTGTGTAAAGCTACCCTAATGTCAGAATAAATGCAATAGTGTAAGTAGTGTCTTTTGTCTTTCCTACGCCTAATGTGAATTAGGCTCATATAAATAGCTAAAGTTTCAGCCTGTGCTATTGAGCAGTGTGTACCTAGACGGAAGCAAGCGTTGTGAAGCTCACGGCCTAAGCGGATTAAACTACAAAAGCAGCATCGTCATCCATCTTGGAACCGTCAGTGTAAATCCTAAATATGAGATGATCACCTGGATCTTCGAAGTAAAAGTCAGGGGCAAGCTGGTGGGTGGGGGTGATCATCGTAAGTCGGTAGGGTATTTTTGTCGATGCTGAATTTTTTGATATCGTCGATCAAGGTCAAACTGGGGGGAATC